TGTTACTGAAGAAACTAAATAGTTATGGAATTAGAGGCGTTGCAAATCTATGGATAAAGAGTTATGTGGAAAATAGGGAACAGCATAGGGAACAGTATGTGCAAATGCAGGAAGTTAAATCCCACACACAGAGAATCAAGTGTGGAGTTCCCCAGGGGTCAGTGTTGGGGGCCTTTTTGTTTATCTTGTATATAAATTTAATGGGAGGCATGCGGAGCTTAAACCCATTTTGTTTGCAGACGATGCTACCTTAGTTTTTTGTGGGGAGAATTTGAATCAGATTCTGGACACTGTACATAAGGAGCTCTCAATATTGAAGACCTGATTTGATAATAAACTCAAATGATATTTGCCAAAAACAAAGTATATTATTTTTGGAAATAAACACAATGATCTAAATGCTAAACTCAGGATAAATAATATTGAAATTGAAAAGGTAACAAGTTTCTTGGAGTGATAAAAGATGATTATATTAAATTGGAAACCACATATAACTTACATTAAGACAAAAATATCAAAATCAATAGTGATACTGTATAGAGATACAAAGGTTATCAATACGTCTTCTCTGCTAACCCTATATTTGTCACGAGCAGAACTCGGAAGACCCGTCATGACGCCAAACACAGTAAAAAGTTAAATAAAAAGCTTTATTCGATGTGGAGTTACCAGAGGAGGGCGAGGCAGGAGACAGAGTCGGGGAGGAGGCGTAAGTCAAAAAGATCGGACGAGCAGGTACAGGGAAAAGGCTTGAGACGAGGTAGCAGACAGGTTCGTGGTGGCAGGCAGAGTTCAAGGCAGGGGTCAGGAGTGAAAACGAGGTCCGGAGGCTGAGATCAGTCAGGGTAAAAGGCCCGAAGATTTACTAGCGAGGAGCGTTCAATAATCTGGCAATGGTTGGAGAGCAGGCTGGGATTTAAATAGCAGAGGGAGCAGGTGTGTAGGATGAGCTGATTACAGGAACAGGTGAGATGAATGAAGCTGATGAGGTGCAGGCTGAGGTTGCTGTGGAAACAGGGCTTGGCTGGAGGTTGATGAGGGGACCACGTGTGCTGCATGAAGGCTGAAGGCTTGATGAGCAGGCAGAGGAGGTTGAAAGATTAGGAGTCATGACAATAGTCTTCTTTTATTGTCCCTTACATAATATATGGTGTAGAAGTATGGGGCAATACATACAAAACCAATTTAGAACCTCTGTGTACTGTACAAAAAAAAAGCAATACGAATAGTGGCTAATGCAGAATATAGACAACATACTCATTCACTGTTTATTAAATTAAAAATTCTCAAGTTTAAAGATCTTGTTAACTATAGAATAGCACAACTTATGTTTAAAATACTTAACCAGGAAGCCCCTTACAGTGTGCAAAAGTTGTTTCAACTAAGGGATGGAAATTATACTTTACATGGAACATTTATTTATAAGACACCTTTGATTAGAACCGACAGGAAATATCAATGTATTACATCCAGACGAGTACAAACATGGAATAACTTGAGTGAAGCAATCAAGAAATGTAAAACAATTAGTAAATTTAAGATGGAAATGTTAAATACATGGTATGAACACATAGTGGCAATATCTTGCTGACATCACGAGTGCTAGAATTTTAAATGAATATTAATTGACTCAATTTTTTTCTGTGGCATGGATGGCTTGATTTGACTAATTGTTTTCTTTTTTTTTTTGATAATTTTCTGATAAAAGTCAGGTTTTTGAGAATGCATTGTAATCTAATCATCATGGGATCCTTAAATAAGCTGTTCCAGCTTCTTGGAGTGCCCTTCACAGATCCAATTTATGTAGTAATGATATTGTGTATATTGTGTACAGCAATGTTATGAAAATGGTCTGTGAACAAAGAAATAAAGAAAAATAAAGACATTTATTTTCTATAAAGGGAATCTGATTTATAAATAAAGTAGGTAAATTATTTCACCCTTTTAAATAATCATAAATAGTGTTGTATAAATTTTAATAATGGAGAAGGGATCGCTTTGCACACCTTGTTAAATTCTCCAAATGAGCTTTGAATACCAAATGTACTCTTAAAGTCATTTATATTTAGAAACTGACCCTGCTCATCCAGTATATCTGTAATAAAAATTACGTTTGTTTTATACCACTTTTCAATGAATAATGACTTCCTATTAGTTGTAATTGTTCTGTTGTTCCACAAGGTGGAGCCATGGGTTGTACAGTTATGAGTGAACAGCATCTTCCAATAATTTAATGCTTGTTTGTGATATTCTGACAGTTTCATCGGCAATTTCAGCACATCAAAGTCACACTTAAGAAGAAATCCCAAACCTCCCACTTTTTTAAAGATATTTTAAGAATATGAAACCGCTGTGAATCAGGACTTAACAGAAAAGTTTGTAGCCAGCTCGTCTTGAACACACCAGCCACGGAATGGAAGTCGAAATGCAAGAATACTCATTCTCGCGTCCTCAAATGCGTCCTCGCTCCACCCACATTTCAAGGACGGGTAGAGAGAGACACTCCAATAGACTTCTATAGAAAGAGTGAAATGCGGAAGTCACGTGGTTCAAATAGCTTCGGATAGTTCCAAACAACCCCCGCTGCTGCATTGACCCCAGTTCATTTTTTGTGTTTCGGAAGGATTTTCTCCGGTAAGATGATGAAATGTCATCATTTTGTTGCATTGTGAAGCGTTAGCTACCCGCTTCGTACCAAAACAAGCCAACTATGATATTTTATGCTGCCAGTTTTAGCTAGATAACCTTTAATGAGCTAACTGTGTGCAGCTTGTTGATTGTGAGCAGGAGGGTTTAGACAAGCTTCACGAGCTGTAGACGGGTTTATTTCAGTTTGTCTGAATCTACATTTTAAAAATATTCCCCACAGTTTGAAGCAGATTATAAACTTTTTACGTTATTAGTTTTATTTGGGATTCTTTTTGTACAATACGTTGCTGGTTGCTGTATCAACACGAACATGCATCAGAAATGGAGAGACCAATAATAAAGAAAAATGCAATTGTGAAGACAAGTAATTATTTAATATTTTTCAGTTAATAATTTTTTCCAGTTAACACTGCAACATTTAGACCACATACATTACTATAATATACTATAGCAATAAATTTGATGTAGTAATGCAACACTGCTCTAATATAAGCATATTTAATAACTTTAAGTCCTACAAGAAGCCCTAAACTCGAGTTGTAATATCCATTTTAAAGTGTTTATTGAAAGCTAGAATTCTGCTCCAGCTTACCTTGAAGAAAATATGTAGCTGTTTATGCTTTGAATGATGATCTATTATGTTTAGTAGAATACATTTTACAATCATTACTTTAAATTTTTATGAAGACAGTACATGCATCTATAACTCAGTTTATCTGGCTTCTATAGCAACTACAGGTCCTTCTCAAAAAATTAGCATATTGTGATAAAGTTCATTATTGTCTGTAATGTACTGATAAACATTAGACTTAAATATATATTAGATTCATTACACACAACTGAAGTAGTTCAAGCCTTTTGTTGTTTCTAACATTGATGATTTTGGCATACAGCTTATGAAAACCCATATTTCCTATCTCAAAAAATTAGCATATCATGAAAAGGTTCTCTAAACGAGCTATTAACCTAATCATCTGAATCAACTAATTAACTCTAAACACCTGCAAAAGATTCCTGAGGCTTTTAAAAACTCCCAGCCTGGTTCATTACTCAAAACCGCAATCATGGGTAAGACTGCCGACCTGACTGCTGTCCAGAAGGCCATCATTGACACCCTCAAGCAAGAGGGTAAGACACAGAAAAAAATTTCTGAATGAATAGGCTGTTCCCATAGTGCTGTATCAAGGAACCTCAGTGGGAAGTCTGTGGGAAGGAAAAAGTGTGGCAGAAAATGCTGCACAATGAGAAGAGGTGACTGGACCCCGAGGAAGATTGTGGAGAAGGACAGATTCCAGATCTTGGAAGACCTGCGGAAGTAGTGGACTGAGTCTGGAGTAGAAACATCCAGAGCCACCGTGTACAGGCATGTGCAGGAAATGGGCTATAGGTTCCGCATTCCCCAGGCCAAGCCACTTTTGAACCAGAAACAGCGGCAGAAGCACCTGACCTGGGCTACAGAGAAGCAGCACTGGACTGTTGCTCAGTGGTCCTAAGTACTTTTTTCGGATGAAAGCAAATTTTTCATGCCATTCGGAAATCAAGGTGCCAGAGTCTGGAGGAAGACTGGGCAGAGGGAAATGCCAAAATGCCTGAAGTCCAGTGTCAAACACCCACAGTCAGTGATGGTCTGGGGTGCCATGTCAGCTGCTGGTGTTGGTCCATTGTGTTTTATCAAGGGCAGGGTCAATGCAGCTAGCTATCAGGAGATTTTGGAGCACTTCATGCTTCTATCTGCTGAAAAGCTTTATGGAGATGAAGATTTCATTTTTCAACACGACCTGGCACCTGCTCACAGCACCAAAACCACTTGTAAAGGGTTTACTGACCATGGTATTACTGTGCTCAATTGGTCTGCCAACTCTCCTGACCTGAACCCCGTAGAGAATCTGTGGGATATTGTGAAGAGAAAGTTGAGAGATGCAAGACCCAACACTCTGGATGAGCTTAAGGCCACTATCGAAGCATCCTGGACCTCCATAACACCTCAGCAGTGCCACAGGCTGATAGCCTCCATGCCACACCGCATTGAAGCAGTCATTTCTGCAAAAGGGTTCCCGACCAAGTATTGAGTGCATAACTGAACATAATTATTTGAAGGTTGACTTTTTTGTATTAAAAACAAATTTCTTTTATTGGTTGGATGAAATATCCTAATTTTTTGAGATAGGAATTTTGGGTTTTCATGAGCTGTATGCCAAAATCATCAATATTAGAAACAATAAAAGGCTTGAACTACTTCAGTTGTGTGTAATGAATCTAATATATATGAAAGTCTAATGCTTATCAGTACATTAAAGAAAATAATTAACTTTATCACAATATGCTAATTTTTTGAGAAGGACCTGTAATTACAAAGAAAATTTCAATAAAACTGTATGGTTCATCACAGTAGATAGAAAAGTGTTAATTGTGAAAAAATGAACACCAAACTTGTACAACATGTATAATAGCATTTTTAATAAAACATTTTACTAACATTATGTTTAGTCATTATATATGCGCAAATAAGCTGAATCAATAAATTTGAGCAATGTACTCAAGACCTAATGAAACTCATTTGAATAACTTTATTTTGAATATTAAAATAAAATTTGTCTGTGGGTTAAAATTAGAAATGACAAATTGTAGGGTTGGATAAAATTTAAAATGTAATTTTACATCTCTTTGTTTTTGGTTCAGTTCAATATTTCTAATACCTTTTATAGGTTGATTATCTTACCATGGTTGGCTGCGTTGCATTTGGATGTAGCAGTCGGTCTGAGAGAGGAATCAGAATGTACGGCTTCCCCAAAGATGCAGAGAGAAGAAGAAAATGGTTGGCTCAAGTCAGCAGGAAAAACTTTACCGTGACCAGAGATCACAATAACAAAAAGCTGTGTGCGGTGAGTTTAATATGCACCCTATAATGTTTTCCATCAAGGCTTTGCATGTTTTGCTCTCAGCTGCACAAGGCTGCAATTAAACTGTTAAATGTGGCAGGAAATTAACTAATACACTGCTCTACAGGTACATTTTGAGGAGCAACAGTTTACAAAGACTAGGAAAGGCAAGGTGAGACTCAAGGCTGATGCTGTTCCAACCCTGTTTGTCCATCGCCCTAAACCAAGGAGGAGGAAGGATCCCGCAGTGAGAAGTGCAGCAGAACCACTGCATGTTGATCCACTGACCAGTGACCACACATACTGTACTCAAGTAAACATTAGTACGAATCTTTAGAAATATTAGACATTTGTATTTATTTTATTTAAAAATTATTCTTTATTCTAACAGTGATTATAATTTCAGAGGATGAGGAAACCAGCTGCAGCAGTGAGGCAAATGAGATGTTATCAGGAGAGAGGGACATCCCAGGAAGCCATGAGGAGCCGGCATCAGGGAGGAAATAGAAAGTCACCTCCAGATGTCAGGACTTTTAAGATGTTTAAGACTCTAAACGCACGAAAAGCCCCTGGCCCTGATGGTGTATCTCCTGCCACTCTAGCACTGTGCTGAAGAACTAGCCCCTAGTGTTTATGGGCATTTTCAACTCCTCACTGCAGGCATCTCATGTGCCTGCTTGTTTCAAGACCTCCACCATAGTCTCAGTCCCCAAGAAGCTAAGGATCACTGGACTCAATGACTACAGACCTGTGGCTCTGACATCTGTGGCCATGAAGTCATTTGAGCACCTGGTTCTCCCCCACCTCAATACCCTCACAGCCCCGCTCCTGGACCACCTGCAGTTTGCCTACAGAGCCAACAGGTCTGTAGATGATGCCATCAACATGGCTCTGCACTATCCTGCAGTATCTGGACTCCCCGGGTACCTACGCCAGGATCCTGTTTGTGGACATCAGCTCTGCTTTCAACACAACCTCCTCCAAGACAAACTATCCCAGATGAATGTGCTTGACCCCATCTGCAGGTGGATCACAGACTTCCTGATGGACAGGAAGCAGCAAGTGAGGCTGGGAAAAAAAAGTCTTGGGCCTGCAGACCATCAGCACCGGTTCTCCTCAGGGTTGTGTTCTCTGCCCTCTGCTCTTCTCCCTGTACACCAACAGCTGCACCTCCAACCACGAGTCTGTCAAGCTTATCAAGTTTGCAGACGACACCACCGTCTTCCGACTCGTCTCTGACAGGGATTAATCTTCCTGCAGAGTGGAGGTGGAACAGCTGGTGTCCTGGTGCAGTCACAACAACCTGGTGCTAAACACCCAGAAGACAGCGGAGGTTGTTGTGGACTTAAGGAAGCACACAGATCCTAGCAAATTTCTTGATTTCTGGTACACATGCATGTCTTTGGAAGACTAACTACAGCTGAAATGTTGGTGGTCTTAGCTCTTTATGCGGCCAAGTTACAGGACAATAGAAAAATAAACGTATGAACCATCAAGTGGATACATTCATTTTCTATTATACCATTGTGAGTATTTTACCTGTTATGGTTACCTGATTCTGTTTCAATTAAAATGAATAAATCTGTATTTTAAACTGAAATTGTATTTGATTTGTAGTCTAAGTCTGCATAATTATCAGCATCAAAGTGTATACAACTGACACCAATAATAAGAACTTTTATTTGAAAGACAACAAAAAAAGAAGCGAGAACTTTCAGGCAGTAGAGCCACAGGAAGACTTCAACTTGAGTTATTTGGTGCAGAGAAATCCAATAGAGGAGAGAACTACCTTCTGCTGGATCCATTTAAAAGGGGTGCTACACTGTTCTGATCAAGCTGAAGGAGGGGGAGGGAGGTCTGACTGATGCCAACCTAAAATCCTTTTAAATAGATTGAAGTAAGGGTGGAATAATTACACCCATATTTGTAACTTATTGCTTAAAGATGAACAAGAGGTATTGCTGTCAGGTTGGGCTGTGATACACTGGTCAGCCACTAGATGACGTCATCAGATAAAATGATTAATAGGACAGCTACTTTAAGATATGACTCAAGAGATCCAAGGATAGCAGGTGAGTAGTGAGTAGTAGCAGTGATAGTGTGAGGTGCTGTTAGAGCTGAATAAAATATTTTTTAAAATTAAAATTCAAGAGAGTCCAGAGCCATCCAGAATGTAATATCATCAAGACACTCCAGTAGGTGCTGGACGGAGGGTACGGTGTTTAGTGGTGAATTGGTGAGTTTTGAAATCAGTAGCAGTAGAAGTGATTCCTCATTTGCTCAAAACAGACCCCAAAGGGTGATGGTACAGAAAGAAGAGAAGATGTCCAAGGATTGAACCCTGGTGGACCCCACGGGATGATAATTCTGAAAATGAAGGAAAACTAACCCCAAAAATCAAAGGGAACTTTGCAGTTTTGGCGTCCTTTTGGCACCCCTTGTGTCCGTTTTAATGTTTTAGTGGTTCGTCACTAAATCAAACAAATCAGCTGTGTTCAAGATCTAAAACATGCAGGAAACGTGTCTCAGAGCTCTCACAATAATTCTTGTTTGACTCCTATTGTGGTCAGATGTTCCTTTAATTTTTTAGCTTAATCAGAAAAATGTTTTCTTTGTTTCGTCTGAGGCTCCACCATGATAAACACGTTACAATAAATGCTAACAGGTATAGCTTGTCTGTTCTGAGGTGGATTGCCTTAAAGCGTGGCTTTGTGAGACTTCAGCACAGCGGTCCGGAGAGGCTGAAGTTGTGAACCGGGTATCCTGTTCACAAGGGGTGGAGGGGGCTGTGAGACTTTTCATTAAAGGGTCATTTTAGCCCAAACTGGCTGAAGAAAATGATTTAAAAATATGAAAAAGTTGCTTGATATGCCTTTAAAGTGAGGGTCACGGCATGGGTGGAGATGTATTTCATCCACACTTCCTGTTGGGAAAACAAGTTGTTAACGAGCGCGAACATGCACTCACACAAGACTTACTGCTCAGGAGAAAAGCAGACATAGATTCTGAAGCATTCTGGAGGATTTCCTGTTAACCACGATTATTCGATGTAAAGGGGAGGATGGCATTTTTTTCAAGGAGGCAAGGGCTGAGCCAGGTGAAGGTGCGGCTGCCTCACCTGGAGACCAGTGCGGTGCAGCCACGTAGTACTTTGCTGACGTCACGTTTTTCAGCTTAGCCATCAGTCACAGCTGGTTCTACATAAATGTGGAGCAGAGTTTTTACCTGAAGATGGAGATAGAATTATGGTTTTGGGCTGAAATATTAAATTTAAAGTAAGCTGCACTAAACTGCCACACTAATGATTACACATGTGCACAGCACCATTAGACACTCATCTATACAGGTTATCAGCAAAAAAAAAAAGTTAATTTACTTGCTCTTTAACTTTCACCACTTGGGTAAGTATGGATCTAATGCAGTGCAGCACATTCAATCCAAACCCAATTCTCAATATTTTTTATTCAAGTTTACTGATGGGACAGATATAATAACATAGACAGACTGGCATCATGTACAGAAACATCTGTGCAGAGTATGGACTGGAAGCCCCAAGGTCAAAGTGGGTAACATCCCCCAAGGTGGTTGAGAACGAGAGAGCTCCTGTGTTTTTTAGAACAGACTTTATTGGTCCCAGAGTGGGGAGATTCACTTGTTAAGGCAGCACCAACATTTGAAGAAATAGGGAAAAAATAAGACAGGTAATAAACCAACTACCGTATTTTCCAGAGTACATGTCGCACCAGCCATAAAATGTATAATGAAGAAGAAAAAACATATATAAGTCGCACTGGACTATAAGTCGCAATTTGGGGGGACATTTTCTTTTTCTTACAAAATCTGAGACCAAGCGTTTCACATTGCAAGACAGGTGCCTGTAACAATAACAGAATAAACAACCAGGGCGCAGCAGCGCGCCACGGTCTCCAGCAGAGGATGGTGGTGTTTCAAACCCTCCCAGCGGGACAGGGGAGCTCATTCCTGGGTCAGAGCCGCCCGGCCCGCAGCAGCCAGGCTCCAGCAGGTGATGGCGGGGCAGAGGAGCTTATTCCTGGTTCCGAGCCGGTCCGCAGCAGCGCTGTATTTGGTATATAAGTCGCTCCAGAGCATAAGTTGCAGGACCAGCCAGACTATGACAATATGGTAATTAGGCTTTTACCGTAACCATCAGGACTTAAAAAATGAATAAAATTAGAGTAAAAATAGAAAATTGACTTTCCACAAAGAAACAGCATAAAGACATACAAATGTGCATCTGGGTATATGCAGGTACTTCACACATATTACAGCTCTGATATTAACTATTTGCTCAGTTAAATCCAGGTGGCGACTTTTTGGGGGCTGGGCAGTCTCGTCTCTTGTATCCTCTTCTTCCGCCTACGCTTTCTATCCCAGGTTGCGGGGGCAGCATCCCAACTAGGGAATTCCAGCCCGTCCTCTCCCCGGCCACCTCCACCAACTCCTCCGGCAGGACCTCAGGGTGTTCCTGGGCCAGATCAAAGACGTACGTTCTCCAACGTGTCCTGGGTCGACCAGGGGGTCTCCTCCCGGCAGGACATACCTGAAACACCTCCCTGGGGAGGCGTCCAGGAGGCTTCCTAACAAGAAGCCCAAACCACCTCAACTGACTCCTCTGGTGGAGCAGCGGCTCTACTCTGAGTCTCTCCCGATTGTCCTAGCTCCTCGCCCTATCCCTAAGGCTTAGCCCAGCCACCTCGCAGAGAAAACAAATTTCGGCCGCTTGTATCTGCAATCTTGATCTTTTGATCCCTACCCAAAGCTGATGACCATAGGCGAGGACTGGGCGGTAGATCGACTGGTAAATCGAGAGCCTTGCTTTCCGGCCCAGCTCCTTCTTCACCTCAACAGACCGGTTCAGCATCATCACTGCAGACGCTGCCCCGATCTGCCTGTCGATGTCCTGCTCCCTCCTTCCCTCACTCGTGAACAAGACCCCAAGATACTTGGAACTCCTCCACTTGAGGCAGGACCTCTCTCCCGACCTGGAGTTGGCAAGCCACCTTCTTCGGTGTAGAACCATGGTCTCAGACTTGGAGGTGCTGGGCAGTGTACTTTTTAAACTCATGCTTTAGCGGCGTCACCCCCAGACAGACCTCTGTACACATCTAGAGTCGTGTTAGGTGTGCTATCTGATCCAGATGGAAGATTGAAGGGATTTTTCTGTTGGTCCATTATGGAAGAATTAAAATACCACAAATTGAGCACTTGAATTTTCAATTTGAGAGCAGAATTTCAAGTCAAGAGACCAACTTTTTCATTTGAGAGTAAGATTTTATATTTTTACTCTCAAAATTTGTAATGCTTGCACTCAAAATGTCTGCCCTCTTTCAAAAATACTCTGTTCTCCTCAAGCCCCCACAAAGCGGCTCAGAAAGTGGTCTCAACCTGGACGTACCAAAAATTGCAGTTCCACCGTCATCCGCTGGGGGCTGGTGTCAGAAGCGAGCAAATCCTCATTGACTCCCATGTTAAAAATACCAATTTCACAGCAGAAATAAACATGTTTACAGCCTGGTACCAAAACATGTTTTTGGTTTAAATGATCTAGTTTACACTCATGACAACTCTGAGGGGGGTGAATTTTTTTCTCACTCTTCTGTTGAAGTGTATTAAAAGCCTAAAATTCTGAATAATTAATGAGCATCAGACCCACGTGACCACAGAGCTAGCTCCGGGGAAAGGCCTCAGTCTGAGCCTCGGTCTGGCCTGGAAACTGTTCCGGCATTTTGAGTCTCTGTGTGTGTGTATTCTTTTTTGGATATTATTTGTGCAATTGTTGGACAAAATTACTTGCTGTGGCGTTAATTGCACTAATAGAGCATCCAAGGAGTCTCCACTTCCTCTTTTCGGTAAGTAAAATTATATTTATGTATTATGTATGTATGTATTATATTTATAGATTTTAACATGTACTGTTTAAAGTAGTGGTAATGTCCCCCTCAGAGTCTTACTCCACCCACATTTCATATTTGAAAAATGCGGCCCAAAGAGGCGTTTTCTGTAAGACCGAGAAGGCGGAGCTACGACCGTGATTGACATACTGAAATTTGAATACAGATGGCGACGGAGAGCGACACTAGCTCAGAGCAGTCATTCGAGGTGGAGGACTTTTCCCCACCTTCTTCCCCAGAGGATAGGGAGGAGGGCTTATTGGGGGAAGCAAGCGGTCCTGAACCGTATCTTTTTGAGCCACTAGCTCGTGAGTTGTCAGAGGCCCCTGGAGCCGAGCCAGCAGGAGTATCAAGGCATCGAATGGGTCCAGTCTCTGAGTGGTAAGTAGCTTTTAGCCACAGCTAAAGCTATATTTAGCTTAGCTAAAAGTAATATTGTATGACTGCCTCAACAGGTGCACCTGCGGCCACTGCACATCATTGTCTGCCAGAGAAAATGTGTGCTGCAGAGAAACGCCCAAGGTATGAAAATAAAAGTACCCCACCATGAGAAAAGCATTCTGTAATGTACACATTTGTTACACAATCACTAACATCATACTAATATTGAACTCTTATAGCCCTGATATCAGTTGTTCTTTGTCATAGGTAATGCTCAGGTGTCAGCAGGTGGGTGTAACCTCCTGCATAATTGAGCATCCTGGTTTTGAGGCTGTTGCTCTGAATCCCTACGTGTTGCAGGCAGTTTATGGCACCTTTCTGCAACTCTATGGGGAGATGCAGGAGACTACGCCCAACAGGTAAGACAACTGTCAAATTACTTTTTTTATGAATACTTTATAACTCATACCACCTCTTTCTCAGCTGTTACAGACATCTGGCGTACCGGAATGTGGTCAGGTGGTGTTGGGGTTACCTGGGACAGCACGTTCGTGTTGTGATCCCGTCATGCGCTGTCTCCAGAATAAGGCAGGAGTTCCCAGAAGACGGTGCATACAAAGGATTCCTCCCTCCTCTGAACTAACCCTAACCCTAACCCATGAAATTTAAATGTAATAGGGTAAAACCCAGTGCATTTAACATAATGCTGCACTTTAGAAAATGGGTTGAAATATAACATGTTGGTGGAGCTGGGTTCCGACTATCGGCTTGTGGAGCTCTCGGGAAACCGATGTTTTCCACCCGGTTCTCCCCTCCCGCAGCTCTGTCTGATCGCGGCTTTAGTCTGCTGCGCGGGCTGACGGCTTCTGGAGCTCTGGGATGGAAACCTTTCCACCCGGTTCTCCCCAGCTGCAGCTCTGCGCATGTCAGATGGCAGCGGCGCTTGTCTGCTGTGCGGCTGCCAGCTTGTGGAGGTCTCGGAGACCTCTGTGTTCCACCCGGTTTTACCCAGCGGTCAGCCCGGCGTATCTCTGACTCAGAAGCTCCGGTGTTGTGCAGTTAACTCCGGTTGTAGCTAGGTTGCTACAGTGCTGAATGCACTGGGGGCGAAGGAGACCCATCTAAAATGGCGGCCGGTCTCTACATGGGTTTTTTCAACATGGCGTCCACGCGGTGGGCATGTTGCGCCCAGCCCCGATCTGCGTACTGCAGTCAGGGGCTACTCAACTCCAGGAGTCAATGGGTGAAAGGTGGGGGACATGCCTTATTTTAAAAGCCTGAGTTATACTTCTCCGTCTCTATCGGTGCAGAGACACGCAACTCCAATTCACGCCGAAGCAAGGGCCACTTATTGTACCACTTATTTTTCTGCTCAATGTTTTGTTTATTTCTCATCCAACAAACCTTTATCACAGTAGGTCCTGCTACATTTATCTCTTGTGGAAGATAATTCTTTAGTTTACATTGGTCAGCATCATGATTCTTGTCTCTAACTAGCATTTAACTCACGTTTTTTACTGTTTTGCAAGATTGTCAAAATTTCCCCTTGTGTCATTTACATTAGCCTCCTTAACTGTTTTAAGATGAAACTGAGACACCATTCAGACAAATAAATGTCACAAAATACGGATGAATGAAGAAAAAAAATATTTATTGAAGCAAAAGACAAAATAAATATTGCTAAAGCTGGAAATTCTAAATCTACAAATGTAAATAAAACTAGAGTAAAAATGTGGAATTTAAGTGGCAAGAACTCTTGAAGGAGTCATGGAAAATCAACTAAAACCCAGAAACCAAGAAAACATAAAGGAGCAAACCACTGAGGCTTAGTGAGAGTGGAGATAACTAAAATAAAAAAACATGATTGATGAAACAACTGATTAATCACATTCACCAAAAAAAACAACGATATAATCAAAACAAATAAAAAAACTAAACAAAAACAAACTTTCAGAGTTCAAGGGTCATAGCTCTCATTCACTTGTTCTTTTTGTACATTTGCTAGTTTCCTGTATGGATGAATGCCTTGTGAGTGGTTCTCTAGGAAAGAAGCTTTAGTGCTCATGTTTCATTAAGTAGAAATGATGCAGAGAACTGGGAGGGCAGAACACAGGAGGATCTGGAGTCTTACTCATTATTATTCAACACAGCTAATTTAAAGGTAAGTTTAACTTGTTTAATACACTTGCAGTGGTCTCTAGTAGGAATGAATGCCTTATATGGATAAAAACACCCATTTCAGGAACTAGAAATGAGCCACATTAGAGCTGAGCTGCAGACAGCAGGATCTGGAGTCATTTCCTGATATTTGGATATCTTGCCTCTGATTGGCTACTCAACTCTACCACTGAATCTGTACATTTTTGCAACATTGATGTTTTGTCTCCACAAAAAAACACAAGCCTGAAGGAGTTCTGCTGTGTGGTGGAGTTGCTAATGCTAATGATTAGCTTCAAGTAGCACAAACCTTCTATCCTCTCTCCAGGACACTGAGACAACAGCCTTCCCCATTGCGAGCCAAGTTGGGCGAGCCCATGAATGTTAAGGAAAGTATGACGTAGATCTGTCAGGACTTATCTGACCCCAGAGTATCACTATCAATTTGTTATCAGTGTTGGGCAAGTTACTTCAAAACTGTAATGCATTATTTATTACTTGTTACCCTCATTTTAAAGTAATTCATTACATTACAATATTACTGATTTTAAAATGTAAGGCATCACACTACTTTTGCATTACTTTAAGTTACTTTCACCAAAACAACTTCAATATGAATCTGGTAATCTGACGCTCAGTGAGTTCATGACATATATGTGGAAGGTGATGTGGTGTCTGAGCTAGGATTGCTGTTAAAAACAGTCAGATATAATAACAGTGCTTTAAAATGATTGTTTATTAAATAAAAGCAACAACAATCTGTACTCTCAGCACGCTGCCATCTTATATTAACTGAGCAGGGAGTGAGGTGGTGGGGGCTCCAAGCCTATATTTGCCTTGGTCCCTAAAATGCCTTGATACGGCCCTGGATGTGGGACTGACTTCTGGGGTGATCTGATTCTATCACATGTATAAATATTAAATGCTTATATATTATTGCTTTTCACTGGTAAAAATGTGTATTGGGGATAAATCTACCTACTTTTTATTTTATTTGAATAATTTCCTGCCCTTTCTCTCTCTGACCTTCCTGCATGCTGCATGTTTTCTGCGTCTTCCAGAAAAACTGTTTCCTAGATTTCCTACTTTCTAACTAATCAGCCAAAGGGATCTACCAAACGCAAAAAGAAATAAAAAGCTTAATATGCGCTGCGCTCCAGCAGCAATGAGTTGAAATCACCGGGGCACAGATTATGAACTCAGCTGAAAAGTACATGAAGTACCAGAGAATAGGGTTGTCACGGTATGAAAATTTAACCTCACGGTTATTGTGACCAAAATTATCACGGTTTTCGGTATTATCGCGGTATTTTTTAAACGGTGTTGCATATGTTCAGAAAGCATTGATAGTCCTGTTCTACACAAACTGAAATAGTTCTGAAAAGGTTTAACAGTGTTTATTAAACCTAAAATAACACAAAGCCTTAGCAAAAGTGCAACTTTTCACAAGTAAAGGAACAAATAGCTTATTTTTCTGGAACATGTTACAGTAGTCAGTGCAGGTTTAAATTATACAAATCCAAACATTCAAAACATAAACAATATGTAAACAAATCAAAGAAACACCACTTGTTTTCTCATATACTTGTTTTCTTCATAATCAACATGAAAATCTAAAACTCCAGTCCACACTTGACTTGAGCACTGTACAAGTCAACCTTAAAAAAATATGTATTTAAAATAAATAGCCACTTTAAACAAATTACTAAAATAACTACTACACTATGTAATCAAATCCAAATGTTCAAGTATAAATGGCATTGAATAAGTAAACAAATCCATGACAAGGAACTAATTGTATATTTCTCTTCATCATCAACAAATAAGATGCTTCATCCAGCAACAGGGTGTCCGTGACACGGTTTAAATGCTGGCAGAGGACGCTGCGGCTGCAGTATATAGTGACTCGTTGCATTCTCCCTCAACCAAAAGTCCTCGCGTCATGCATTTAAGCCAAAATGCTCATGTTGACTTACCTTGCACTGGCTGTAGAGACGTGAGTGATGGTCACGCAGATGTGCCATTAGATTCGAAGTGTTGCTGCCTTTTGCAGACACTTGTTTCCTGCACGTTCTGCAAACGGGATAGCAGTCTTCTATTAACTGTCCCTCAGCATTTTTCAGAAATCCAAAATATGCCCATACTTCCGATTTAGTCTTCTTTGAGGGCTGATGGATGTCCTGGGCGCAGCCGTCTCCTCCTTCGGCCATTATTTCAGCTTCAAAGTTTTGGTGCCGTTGCAAACTAAAAAGTGCGTGTGCGCGCCGCGGGAACTTCAGCTGAAGCGACGGTGGCTGGTAAGGGTCACCGCGCTGAAACCGCGGCCACGGTAAACCCACCGAGATAATATAGTTTTTTAAAAACTGGACGGTTATTTTTATTGTCAATTTTTTTACCGGGGTTTACCGCTATACCGGTTACCGTGAGAACCCTACCAGAGAATATGGGCTGATATAAACGATCGCAAACGAATTACTTTGTTTTGGTGGAGCGATTTTGTGAATATAACAGCGGCCGCGTGCAGGACGCAGCTGGAGTATTTGAGCCATTACCGCTGCGTCCTCTCTGCTCATAGAATGCCCGCAAGGCTGAGTCCATAAATGACGTCATGTATGTGGATACTGGATCTTTTTTCAGGCTTCCCGCAATTTGAATTTTTAGGAAACCCACATCTTGATTCCGGGTTTAAAAATGCATTGTAATTACCGCGTTACTGACAATTGTACCGAGTAAATATTACCATTTTCTTTCCCTGTAATGCCTTACATTACCACATTACAGCATAAAGTAATCTATTACAGTAATTAATTACTTTTGTACCGCGTTACTCCCAGCACTGCTTGTTATCAGTGGCTAATAAAAGAAATATGGGTAGAAGACTATTTTCAGATCCAGCAAACGGTAGTATTTATAAAATGATAACATACACACAATTAAAAATGTGATCTTGCTCTTTATTTCTGATGAACAACAATTAAAATACATGATAATAAAATAACCACAAAAACAATTCCTATTCCTATTCCTATAAAGTAGCGATATTTGTGTCGGTCCCATGATGATTCTACCTCGGGCTGAGCTGCGTTTTCAGGAACTTCAGCCGGAAGCAGAGTTCTGCTTTCTTCCTGGTTCCCAACCACCACTCTCACATCTTTATGTTTGGATCTGGTGGCTGACCTTTGGGTCTCTTTGTTGGTGACATTTCCTGACTTCTCTTCCTCAACACTCTTGGGGTTTTGGTAGAACGCTGCAAGTCCAGCTGACCTTTTGCTGCCTATAGATGTACACTCATCTCTCACCTCTACTAACTCAACTAGCTCTTCCTTTTCAGGACCTCTGGTCTGATTCTGGTTTTCCAGGTCATTTACTTCATTTTGCACATTATTTGGAGAAGGTGGATCTTGTTTCTCAGCTGGTGTCATCTGAAGAACCTCAGACAAGTCTACTTCTTCAGTATCCTTGATGTTACTCTGATCTTTAGTAGAGAGAGGATGTGTGTTTTCTACCTGATCATCACCCTTTAGGGTACTTTTCTGTGTTTTGTTTTCTGTCTTTTTATCTGTGGATTCACCCTGAACATCACTGGTCTGGTCTTGTCTTTCGTGTCCAGCAGGTATAAGTAACCAATCTCCGTTTCTAGGAATTAAACCTTGAATAAAATCTGGTCTCATCTCTTCATTAGATGACAGACTTCTGTTGTCTCCTTGACCATCCGTGTCTTCTGTCTCATTTTGTTTCTCTTTTAGTGTTGTCGGATCAGCCTCAGCTTGGGTTGACGTTTCATCACATTTCACTTTGGTCTGATGTCCACTAGAGGACAGATTTCTGCTTTCCATCTGTTCACCAGTGTTTTGATCCTTTGCGTTTATGTTTGGTGAAGAAAAGTCAGTTTCAGACTTTATTATTCCCCTTTTTTCTACCGGTCCAGACTCCTCACCCTCTGCTGGTCTCTTTGCTGGTTTTATGTTTCTCTTCTTGTTCAAATCAGTGACTGGGATCTGATCTGTGTTGCACACTTCTTGAGTTACTACAAAATAGTTTTGACAGAAGAGAAAAAGCTGCTTAATGATGTCATTACCACCAAACATCAGTTTATTCTGACTGAAAACATGAACTGATTCTTACCTTTCCTTCTGTAAAACAGAAGATAGGCTCTAGCGGATCTATAGAGGGGTAGATCAAAGCAAATTATTCCATATATAAACAAGATCTACACAAAACCCTTACATGATTAAGTTTTATCTTCCACAACCAAAAATTGCACTTTTTGTTCACTTTGTAATTATCAGCTATAACTAGGGGTCCTCTAGGACACAGACCAGATCTTCACATCTGGCCTGGCCCAGTCAGGTATTGGTAGCGCCAACCCGCCCCTCGCGCGGCCATGTTTTGTCTTTGAGCATGTGGGTAGGGCAAAAGACATGCAGAGAAGTCTGTGATGTTTTCCTTTGTTAGTAAACGAAGACGGCCATGAGCAGACTCTGATATGAAGCACACACCTTCCTACTGTCTCACTGAGAGAGCTGTGTGCTCCTCACAGATGTCTGTCCTCCCGCTGTTGCGGCAGGTACAAGCAGCAGTAAGAGAAGATGTTTACCTCTTTGCATGCAGACTAAAGGTTGGTTTATGCTTGGCGCGTCCGCGAGGTTCGCACGGCTCTGCGCGGCAAACTTGCGTCATTTTAACAACAATGCCCCTCCACCTGGCCTCCGCATGGTCCAAACTTTCTGCACCGCACACCTAGGAAATTTTCTAACCACGCAGATGGTCGAACACGGAAAACCATGGCGGACTGGCAAGAACTAGTTATGGCAGAGTTCGTAAATACAGACATTTGTATGATTCAGCTCTCAAAGATCACCGTGATCAACATGTTAATAATTCTTGGAGAGAAATAGCTCGCACTGTCGGAAAAGACAAGGATGCTGTTAAAAAATGCTGGAAAAACATGAGGGACCGATATGTGGAGGCAAAGAAGGGGAACAAACGGAAAAGCGGTGATCCTGGTGGAAACAAGAACACTCCACCATTTCTAAAAGAGCTGAGTTGGCTCTCAACTTTCATTAACAACTGTTGTAAACAACAGTAATTTTAACTTCTACTATGGTGTAGTGTTGGATGCATGCCATAGAGCTCCATGCTGCCCCCTACAGTTTGGGAGAATATTGGTTCACCGCAGAGACAAGCCGCATGAACCATAAACGCTGCAAGTTGTGAAGCGCGTTCCATCCACGAGCCGCATCACCAAGCGGAAAGTAAATGCGTCAAGCATAAACCAAGCTTGATAATGAAACGTGCATGTGGTAAGCTTCTGCTGGTTCACTCTACCCACCAACAGTGGCAGATTTACCAATTTGGCGGCCCAAGGCGAACACAGATATAGGGCCCCCTTACACTAAATTTTCAACAATCTTACCTTTAACTGGATTTGCGAAATTCTCTCCTCTTCTGACATGAGTTACTTTCCATTTTTATTAGTCCTCCTCTTTTTTCCTGTCTTTGCCTCCCTTTGAGTGCTTTCAATTTTTGCTCTGCTTTCTTCTTCCTGTCAGTGCTCCTGTGCTTTAGCCTTTTGTTTCCCTATTTTCCATTTTGGTCTATGTTTTCCTCCCTTTAAACATTTTCCATTGTCTTTCCTTTCTGCTTCCTTTTGATGTTTACATAGAAAACAACGTCACGTTCGGAAGTGAAGATAAAAGCTTTTTTAAAGCAAGCTGCTTCTTTCTCTTATTGGAGCCACTAGGCTAACTCCATTTCATGCTAAATGTTTTGACTATCACTTTGAGTTTGTTACGAATGCTCACACCTCTCTTCTTATTCTTCTGCTTTTTTTTCTTATTCTTATTTGCAAGCTTATGATTGGACAGGACGTCACTTCCGGTGTAATCATCACCAGCACCGCCGTTGCCCAGTTAAAAAGTAAAACGATATTTAGCGGCAGACGTCGTCGCCATCGTCTTCCTTCCCTTATCCAGGTCACAGGGGCAGCATCCCAACTAGGGAGCTCCAGACCGTCCTCTCCCCGGCCAACTCCACCAGCTCCTCCGGCAGGACCCCATGGCGTTCTCGGACCAGATTGGAGATGTAGCCTCTCCAACGTGTCCTATGTTGACCCGGGGGCCTTCTGCCAGCAGGACATGCCCAAAACACCTCCCCAGGGAGGCGTCCAGGAGACATCCTGACCAGATGCCCAAACCACCTCAACTGACTCCTTTCGATCCGGAGGCGCAGCGGTTCTATTCCGAGTCCCTCCCGAATGTCCGAGCTCCTCACCCTATCTCTAAGGCTGAGCCCGGCCACCCTACAGAGGAAACTCATTTCGGCCACTTTTATCCACAATCTCGTTCTTTTGTTCATTACCCAAAGCTCATGACCACAGGTGAGGATTGGGACGTAGATCGACCGGTAAATCGAGAGCCTGGCTTTCTGGCTCAGCTCCCTCTTCACCACGACAGATCGGCTCAGCGTCCACAGCACTGCAGACGCCGAACCAATCTGCCTGTCGATCTCCCGATCCCTCCTACCCTCACTCGTGAACAAGACCCTGAGATACTTAAACTCCTCCACTTGCGATAGGACCTCTCTCCCGACCCGGAGTTTCAAGCCACCCTTTTCCGGTCGAGAATCATGGTCTCAGATTTGGAGGTGCTGATCCTCATCCCAGCTGCTTCACACTCGACCACGAACCTACCCAGCAAGAGCTGAAGGTCAGAGCTGGATGAAGCTAGGAGGACCACATCATCCACAAAAAGCAGAGACGAGATTCTCCTGCCACCAAACTCGACACACTCCACACCACGGCTGCGCCTAGAAATTCTGTCCATAAAGGTAATGAACAGAACCGGTGACAAAGGCAGCCCTGGCGGAGTCCAACCCTCACCGGGAACAGGTCCGACTTACTACCGGCTATGCGGACCAAACTCACGCTCCTGTGGTAAAGGGACTGAATGGCCCTTAACAGAAAGCCACTCACCCTGTACTCCTGGAGCGTCCCCCAACAGGGTGCCCCTGGGGACACGGTCATAAGCCTTCTCCAAATCCACAAAACAAATGTGGATTGGTTGGGCAAACTCCCATGCCCCCTCCATCACCCTTGCAAGGGTATAGAGCTGGTCCACAGTTCCACGGCTAGGACGAAAACCACATTATTCCTCCTCAATCTGAGATTCAACTATCAATCGGACCCTCCTCTCCAGTACCTTGGAGTAGACCTTTTCAGGGAGGCTGAGGAGTGTGATCCCCCTATAGTTGGAACACACCCTCAGGTCACCCTTCTTAAAGATGGGGACCACCGCCCCGGTCTGCCACTCCACAGGAACTGCCCCCGATGACCACGCAATGTTGCAGAGACGTGTCAACCATGACAGCCCTACAACATCCATAGCCTTGAGATACCCAGGATGAATCTCATCCACCCCCGGGGCTCCGCCGCTGTGTAGTTGTTTGACTACCTAAGCAACTTCTGCCCCCGAGATTGGACAGTCCATCCCCAGGTCTCCCGGCTCTGGTTCCTCCTCGGAATGCACGTAGGTGGGATTGAGGAGCTCCTCAAAATATTCCTTCCACCATCCGACTATAGCCCCAGTTGACATCAGCAGCTCCCCATCCCCACTGTAAACAGTGTGAGCGAGCTGCTGCCTTCCTCTCCTGAGGCGCCGGACAGTTTGCCAGAACCTCTTTGGAGCCGATTCGATAGTCTTTCTCCATGGCCTTACCAAACTCCTCCCACGCCCGAGATTTTGCCTCGGCAACTGCCACTGCTGCACCCCGCTTGGCTATCCAGTACCTGTCTGCTGCCTCCGGAGACCCACAGACCAGCCACGCCCTGTAGGCCTCCTTCTTCAGCCAGATGGCTCCTCAAACCTCTGGTGTCCACCAGCGGGTGCGGGGGTTGCCACCACGACTGGCACTGGCCACCTTGCGACCACAGCTAGCAACAGCCGCCTCAAAAATCGCAGAGTGGAACAAGGCCCACTCTGAGTCTATGTCCCCCACTGCTCTTGGGACGCGGTCAAAGCTCTGCCGGAGGTGGGAGTTGAAGACCGTCCTGACAGGTTCTTCTGCCAGGCATTCCTAGCAGACCCTCACTATGAGTTTGAGTCTGCCAGGTCTACGTGGCATCTTCCCCTGCCATCTGATCCAACTCACCACCAGGTGGTGATTAGTTGACAGCTCCGCTCCTCTCTTCACCTGGGTGTCCAAAACATACGGCCACAGGTCAGATGATACGACTACAAAGTCTATCATCAACCTGCGACCTAGGCTGCCCTGGTACCAAGTGTACCGATGGGCATCCTTATGTTCGAAAATGGTGTTCATTATGGCCAAACTGCGGCTTGCACAGAAGTCCAATAACGAAACACCACTCGAGTTCAGATCAGGTGGGCCGTTCCTCACAATCACACCCCTCCAGGTCATGCTATCATTGCCCATGTGAGCATTGAAGTCCCCCAGCAGGACAATGGAGTCCCCTGATGGAGCACTATCTAGCACTCGTCCCAGGGACTCCAAAAAGGGTGGGTACTCTGAACTGATATATGGCCCATAAGCGCAAACATTCAGGACCCGTTCCCCGACCCGAAGGCGCAGGGAAGCTACCCTCTCGTAAACCCCACCACACAGGCAGAGAGTCTTGGGGCTAGCAAAAAGCCAACCCCAGCACTCCACCTCTCACCTGGAGCAACTCCATCAAAGGAGAGCGTCCAACCCCTCTCAAGGACTTGGGTTCCAGAGCCAATGCTATTTATTGAGGTGAGTCCCACTATATCTAGCCGGTACCGCTCAACCTCTGCCACAAGCTCCTGCTCCTTCCCTGCCAGCGAGGTGACGTTCCATGTCCCAAAAAACAGTTTCCTTGTCCGGGGTTCGGACCGCCAAGGCTCCAGCCTCGGTCTGCCACCCGATCCACACTGCTCCGGACCCTTCCTGTTCCTCCTGCAGGTGGTGGGTACACAGTTGGATGAGCCCATGTATCCGGTTCGTACCCCATGGGCAAAAGCCCGGCCACCAGGCGCTCGCCCACGGGCCCCAACCCCAGGCCTGGCTCCAGGGTGGGACCCCGATAACCCTCTGGGCTGGGTACTCCTGACTCTTCGATTGTACATCCATGAAAGATCCTCTGAACCGTTCTTTGTCTCACCCTTCACCTAAAACCAATTTGTCTTGGGAGACCCTACCAGCGGCACAAAGTGCCCCAGACCACCTAGCTCCTAGGATCATTAGGGCACTCAAACTCCTCCACCACGATAAGGTGACGGTTCAAGGAGCAGCAGACCCAGAATAGATTGAAGAACGCATTATGGAAAAAGTCCAAAAATATGAATGTTTATCGACCCGTGACTGAAGGAGCAGAAAATACGGTGCAAACGTGAACAGAAATGATGGGAAACGTGGGTTTAGAGGTAGCGACCGCATGAAGAGATGGAGGAGAATGTTATAAAGTTTCTGAAATATATAAACACAACAGTAAATACACTATCAGGGACTGGACACACGAGACTCCGTGTGCATCTCTCCATTGTGGAGGTCACAGAGAAGTATAATTCAGGCTATAGTTCTAATAACACCTGAGCGCTCATGACGTGAGACTGATACAATCAGTGTTACAGCAGAACTAAAGAAATGTGCAGTAATTAGTTCCAGTTGGATGATCTGGGAAGATGGAATTAATTAACTGACGGCTGAGCTGTGAACAAGTAAGCGGACCTTCTGGAAGTCCTGCTGTCACGCCAACAAGGATACAGCTGCATACTCACAGCCCACAGAGCAGATTCACGCCTGCAGCAGTGAGTCTGTGGGTCTCCAGGTCTGCAGCCATAGCCATTCTGTCATGGTCTGCGTCAGCCCCCTTCCTTTATGTTCCTCCTGGTGTCCATCCCTCTCTAGATTCCCTCTTGTGTCCCTTTGTTCCCCCAGCTCCCCTTGTGCTCTCTTAGCGCCCTCATGTGTCCTTGTCTGCATCCCTGTTATGTGTCTTATGTTGTAGCCCTTTGGCGCCCTCTTGTGTCCTTTTTCTGTGTCAGTTTCTGTGTGTCAGTCTAGTGTCTGATGTTACTGTTTCCTCCCAGGTCAGCTCCAGCCTCGTTGTCCCCAGCTCAGTGTGTGTGTATGTACTATGTCCTTCTCCAGCTAGTTTGTGTGAGTCCTTCCCTCTGACTGTAGGAAATGGTGTTTAGTTTTGTGTTAAGGTATTTGCCATCCTCTGTTTCTGTTTTCCTCATTGAGTTGATTAGTGTCACCTGCCTTCCCTCCAGCAGCTCACCCCACACACCTGCTTCCTGTTTCCCTGATTGCTCCTCCCAGTGTATTTAAGCCCTGTCTGTCTCTGTGTTCTTGTCGGTCCATTGTTGCTTGTCAGCGTTGTTAGTCCTGTCAGTCTGCTCGTTCCTCTGGTGTTTTTTGACTCCCTGGATTCTTGGGTTTTGGCTCCCTCCCTGTTCTTGGATTTATTCTTTATTTTGGACACATCCTACAATAAAAGGATTTTCTTTATTTCAATTCCTGCCTCGTGTCATCCTGGGTTTTGCAATTTGGGCCCTACTCTCCTAAACGTGACAGAATGGACCGACCACACCAGGACCCAGCAGAACTTTCAGCTTCACCCACATCTCAGTGGATGTATGATTTTTATGGTGACCCGAACACCTGTCGGACTTTCATCTTGGACTTTGCAAGATCTTATGGCCCGGACGCTTTGGACAGGGACTTGGTTATTAATATGGTGCTCCGCCTAAGGGGAAGAGCTCTGCAATGGGCTAGCAGTTACCTCGAGCGACATCCTATAGAGGAACTGGACTTTTGGGATTTCGCAGGCGATCTGCGAGATGCTTGTTGCAGCCCACATGCTCCCTCTTCAGCTCCTACACTCCTGTCCCGTCCTGAGTCGTCTCAGACTATCCGAACCGGTTTAATCTCCTTCTCCCCTGTTCCTGCCAACGTCATCCTCGCACCTCCGAGGAGACGCACTCAACACAGACGTCGCCGCCATCACCAGCAGTCTCCCGAGGCCGCATCGCCTCCTGCTCCAGCGGTGGTCCGGAAGGTCGCATCGCCTCCTGCTCCAGCGGTGGTCCGGAGGGTCGCATCGCCTCCTGCTCCAGCGGTGGTCCCGAGGGTCGCATCGCCTCCTGCTCCAGCGGTGGTCCCGAGGGTCGCATCGCGTCCTGCTCCGGCGGTGGTCCCGAGGGTCGCATCGCGTCCTGCTCCGGCGGTGGTCCCGAGGGTCGCATCGCGTCCTGCTCCGGCGGTGGTCCCGAGGGTCGCATCGCGTCCTGCTCCGGCGGTGGTCCCGAGGGTCGCATCGCGTCCTGCTCCGGCGGTGGTCCCGAGGGTCGCATCGCGTCCTGCTCCGGCGGTGGTCCCGAGGGTCGCATCGCGTCCTGCTCCGGCGGTGGTCCCGAGGGTCGCATCGCGTCCTGCTCCAGCGGTGGTCCCGAGGGTCGCATCGCGTCCTGCTTTGACTGATGAGGTCCAAGAGGTCCCGGTCCCGGCCCAGCCTGTCCAAGAGGCTCCGGTCCAGCCCATCCATCTGGACCCGAAGTCGATGGTGGTCAACGCCCCTTCCTGTTCCGAAGTCGACGCCCCTTCCTGTTCCGAAGTTGACGCCCCTGATGACGACGTGTCCGAAGTCGTCGCCCCTGATGACGACGTGTCCGAAGTCGTCGCCTCTGATGACGTCCCCTCTGACGACGTCGCCACCGCCTCTCCTGACGTCGCCTCTCCTGACGACGTCGCCTCTCCTGACGACGTCGCCTCTCCTGACGACGCCGCCTCTCCTGACGACGCCGCCTCTCCTGACGTCGCCGCCTCTCCTGACGACGCCGGCTCTCCTGACGTCGCCGGCTCTCCTGACGTCGCCGGCTCTCCTGACGTCGCCGGCTCTCCTGACGTCGCCGGCTCTCCTGACGACGTCGCCGGCTCTCCTGACGACGTCGCCTCTGGTCTGATGTCTCTTCTGTCTCTAGTTCCAGTGGTGGTTCTGAAGGTCGCACCGGTCCAGCCTGTGTCCCCAGCCCAGCCTGCAGGGCTCCTCTACCGCAGGCGCCGCCCTCCAGGGGACTGTCGTCACCTCCTCATCTGCCCCAGGCGCCGGCCCCCAAGGGTCCATCCTCGTCTCCTCATCTGCTCCAGGCGCCGACCCCCAAGGGTCCATCCTCGTCTCCTCATCTGCCCCGGGCGCCAGCCTCCCAGGGCCCGTTGCCTCCTCATCTGCCGCAGGGGCAGGCCTCCTGACTCTGCTGATCCCTGCCGCCTCTCCTGTGGTCCCTCAGTCCCTCTGGGCCCTCCCTCCGGGTCCCCCTCCTCCCGCCCTGCTCCTGGTTCCTGTGGGCGTCTGGGATCCGCCCTTTGAGGGGGGGGTACTGTCATGGTCTGCGTCAGCCCCCTTCCTTTATGTTCCTCCTGGTGTCCATCCCTCTCTAGATTCCCTCTTGTGTCCCTTTGTTCCCCCAGCTCCCCTTGTGCTCTCTTAGCGCCCTCATGTGTCCTTGTCTGCATCCCTGTTATGTGTCTTATGTTGTAGCCCTTTGGCGCCCTCTTGTGTCCTTTTTCTGTGTCAGTTTCTGTGTGTCAGTTTGTGTGTCAGTCTAGTGTCTGATGTTACTGTTTCCTCCCAGGTCAGCTCCAGCCTCGTTGTCCCCAGCTCAGTGTGTGTGTATGTACTATGTCCTTCTCCAGCTAGTTTGTGTGAGTCCTTCCCTCTGTCTGTAGGAAATGGTGTTTAGTTTTGTGTTAAGGTATTTGCCATCCTCTGTTTCTGTTTTCCTCATTGAGTTGATTAGTGTCACCTGCCTTCCCTCCAGCAGCTCACCCCACACACCTGCTTCCTGTTTCCCTGATTGCTCCTCCCAGTGTATTTAAGCCCTGTCTGTCTCTGTGTTCTTGTCGGTCCATTGTTGCTTGTCAGCGTTGTTAGTCCTGTCAGTCTGCTCGTTCCTCTGGTGTTTTTTGACTCCCTGGATTCTTGGGTTTTGGCTCCCTCCCTGTTCTTGGATTTATTCTTTATTTTGGACACATCCTACAATAAAAGGATTTTCTTTATTTCAATTCCTGCCTCGTGTCATCCTGGGTTTTGCAATTTGGGTCCTACTCTCCTAAACGTGACACATTCATCACATCTTTCTCATTCTTCATGGGCTATGACGTGCTTGGATAAAACCATCAGCTCCTTTAGCTTCCGATCAGCTGATCACGGCTTTAACAGACAAAACGCCATAATGCCGTTGTTTTAAAAGCCATTATTCCCATAGGATGTGTCCCCACCAGAACCGGAAACCCACATTACCAGAGGAATCAAGAAAGCACTAAAAACCAGTTGCCGTTTTCTAGGTCCAAACTTCTTTTGTTGAACATGACTTCAAATGGTGTTTTTAATTTTTGGGACACTGGTTTGTCCTAAAGTTGCAGTGGTAGCAGCCGGCTGATTCTCCTTCTATGGTATTGTTGAGCAGAGAATCTCTCACACCAGTGGGTTTCTGTTGCTAAATACGTAAGTGTGCTATGAACAGAGGACCCAGGGATATGCAGAAGTGCTGCAGTTCAGCAAGATAGACAACCGAATGGCTCGATAGTTTCTTTTCAGTCCAAAACGTGTTATTGGTTTCTAGGCGTGGTGCTGGAATTAAAGCCTATGGAAGGGAAACCCTGCCATGTATCATTTATCACTAATGTCAAAATAAGATGTGGATAAAGCCAAAAATGGACATTGTGGCCTGCAGTTACTGTTTGGAAGAAAGCCATATAGTGGGCTTGTGTATGTATTTCAGTAATTTTACTTGCTGCTATTTATAGCTGATCACATGTGAGCAGGTTAACCAGGTCACTCACCTTGTAAGAGTCACGCTGTCTGGGAATGGACTTGTGTCAAGCTGTTGGAGGAAACAACAAATAAAATGTTAAATTAAATCAAATCCGTTTTCTTGTGTTGTATATATATGTGTGTGTGTGTGTGTGTGTGTGTGTGTGTGTATATATATATATATATATATATATATATATATATATAATGGCATGCCGTTCAGGAAATAATTATGCATTTATACCAGAACACTGCTGAATATATGGACTGAAAGCTGTGCTTTAAGTGGGTTCGGTTTGCAGCAACATGCACCACCACTTCAAACTCTCTGACCGATTGGCATACCTTTTTAAAATACTTTTATCTAGGCGGTGCGCACTGGTAGCTTTTCGGGTCATTTATTAGTCGAAATGTCATAGTTCTAAAGAAATATCTGTCCCTCCAACATCAGCCATCCACAGTCCGTGCCCAGCGCAGCCACTCCCGATACGTCGGACACGCGCTCCATGAAGGTCTGCATTTTGTGCCAAAGGTGCATCACTGCAGTGAGGCGCACAGCGCATTCAGCCCCATCAGCACAGACAGAGGAGACACAAAAAGAGACGAGTTATCCAACACTGGGCTCGTTCCCGTAATGACAACAGCAGCACTTGAACAGCCAGTGGTTCAATGGTTAAATGCTCTGACAGGCAGGAGGATGGAGCTGGACATATATCCAAACAGAAATATAGATCATTAGCAAACTCCGAGCGGGTTGGAGGAGACTGATCGCTGCTGCAGTCAGCTTGATCTCTGACGAGTATTTCCAACTCGCGAAGGGGGTGGGGGGTGCATTCATCCACCGGCTTGTAGTACATCCAACAGTCCTAGAGCACCGGTCGTTCTTGGATTCTCCAGAACTCAGATTGCCAGTCCACTTCTGCCCCATCTATAACCTTCACTCTTTCACTCCAAAGGCCCAACAACATGAGCACTTTTGAGTCCGATGGTCAGTGCCACCCCAGATGTTATTAATGTACAACAGGGTGTGCTTTATAGCCTACCAGTGTTATGGGCATTAAAGAGAACATGACAGGGAGAGAAACAATGATTAATATAATTTTTGTTGCTGGAAATAACACAAAAGCATTGTTTGTACCATCTGTCAGTCAGCTGATGGTTTCACATATGAAGGGGTGTCCCCATCCATGGACGTAATTTTGGGGGGGGGACAGGGGGGACATGTCCCCCCCCCCACTTTTTCCAAAGTCAAGTTTTGACCCCTGCATTTTTTACCATCCAAAAACAACATTACGCTATATTAAATTGACACTGGTTGAGCTCTAGGACCAAGCGGAAAACAACCGTTTGTGTTGAAGCCTGTTTCCCATTAGAGCATACTGTAAAGATACCCCCCCCCCCCCCCCGTGTCCCCCCACTTCTAAAGTGAAAATTACGTCCATGTCCCCATCACTAGTGCTGCAGGAGCACATCTGCACACCGCTTAGGGCAGGCTGTATAAACAGTTATTAAGAAGATATATATTCAAAATATCTAAAAATCTTGTTTTTATTTAAAAAAAAACATTCCAAATAATCCATTATAACCTTCTCAATATACACGATGATCATTTCTGATATATTAAAGTCATTCACGCCCCCAGCGTTATATCCACCCACACTTCCTGTTTGAAAAATGCACTTAAAGGAGATGTCATCTGGTGGATCAGGAGAGCTGTGGCGCAGAGGAACTGACTGGCAGTCCCCCCCCCCCCACCATCCCCCAATGTCCATCAGAAGCTGGGTCTTGGTACGTGGCATGTCACCTCTCTGGTGGGGAAAGAGTCTGACATGGTGTATGAGGTGTTCCAGCTTGATATAGTCAGTCTCACCTGGATGCATGGCTCTGGTTCAGGAACAAGTCTCCTTCATAGGGGTTGGACACTCTACCTCTCTGGAGTTTCCCTAACTGAGAGGCGCAATGCAGGGGTGGGAAAACTCTTGTTTGACCCCTTGCTTGATCTGAATGACGTATTCAAACCTGATAATCGCCAGGGGTCTCATTTATCAAGCTTGCTTACGCACAAAACGGGGTCGGAAAACTGTGTAAGCAACTTTCCACGCAAACTTTGGGATTTATGAAAGAAAACTTAGCGGAAAAATGTGCACAACTTTAAGCTGACTAAGGACCTAGCTTACGCACATTTTGGACATGGAGAGCACCTGCAGTGCTGCTGCTGAGAAGGATACAATTATGAAATCCTGCAGCATTATCACTTGTACTGCTTCGTTATCACATGAGACCCCTGATATGGAACAGAAAGCCATTGAATTGAAAACATTGGTCCTTTCTTTCCATCATGACCGTACCTTTACAACAGCAGTTCAGTAAATTACATCAACAGTGAAGAAAAGCTGGTGAGACTCACCCGTGAGACTCTGGTGTCGTCAAAGCTGTACCACGTCTCTTCTTCATCCTGAGGTTTGATTGTAGCGTTGTAGTGTCCACTTCTCAGATCACCACAATGATCCACAAATGCATAAAGTTCATAGACCTGTTTCTGATTTATACAAATAAAGTTCATTATTAAAGTAATGCTTTACGAACAGGTCATAACCCAGTACTGAATAAACTAAAGACTCACCTCTGGTAATGTCAGGGTGTAGGGAACATCAACAGCACGGTTGATTTTAACATATGACATGTCTTTATAGCTGAAGTCAAACCTCTTCAGCAGCAGAATCAGAACATCTGGATGATCCTTTATAACATATCTCTGAATGAAAACAACATATTTCTTTAGTTTTATGCTGTGAAGATCATTACAGAATAAACAATCAGAGGAATTTAATATTTACTCACACTAGAAGCATCACCTTTGGTATCACAGGTGTCACAGTACATCTGGTTGTCTCCAGTAAATAACGTGGGGCTGAAATATGTTTGAATGCCGTCTTCCTGAAAAATGCACCCGTTTACTTTCAATTAACACTTTAATGAATAAGTACTGAATAATCAAACTTTACCAACTCAGACCTGCAGAAGATGCACATTATCAAAAAATACCCAGAAATTAATACAAATAACAATAATAATCTTGGATGTATAACAAAGTTCGTGAATTGAAGCTGTTGGTTTGCAGGGATTCAGTTTCAGAAAACAATAAGTTTCATGTGTCATGTAAGGCTCATTTCTCATTTCTTTCTTTATTGAAAATGTAAATCAATAGACAAATTACAGTATTCAAAAAGAAACCCTTACATATGTATATGCAAATATATATATGTAGAACATGTTCAATAGGAAGGGAACGAAGCTCTGGTAGATTATATAATCCCCCCAAATGAAATTTCAAGGAAGATAAAACAAAAAAATTATTTTCCCTACACTGAGTGTCATAGCCATTTCCTTATCACGTTTTATCCTCAACCACACAAACAAAATTTACATTTTCTTACAGAACGATTTTAGGAAAAGATTAAATTGTGATTTGTGTTCAATTCACAATTTTCTACAAATTAAGGTTCAACAAATTATTCAAAATATATTCATTATAAATCATACCATAAAACATTAAAAGCTATAAATGTTTTCCCATTATTATCTTTTTAATGATTTTTTATTTATTTGTTTTTAATGTGCTTGTGAAGGAACTGTGTTTTTTATTTAGACATGAGCTTCATACCTTGTATATGTTCTTGTCCTCGTAGGGTTTCAGATGTGTGCCTATTCAACGGCAGGTTTCCATGACCTCTGACCTTTACATATTATTCATATTTTTATGTTTATTATGTTTGTTCATTTAGCAGACGCTTTTATCCAAAGTGACTTACAATTTCAAACCTATAGGGCATGTTGTGATCTGTGGGGGAAACCGGAGTAACCGGAGGAAACCCACGCATGCATGGGGAGAACACGAAGAAAGGCCGCAGCCGAGTTTCGAACCTGCAACCTTCGTGCTGCGAGGCAACAGTGCTAACCACTGCGCCACCATTATTGTGACAATAATCTGTTGAAATAATGTGAGAAAAGACATAATTATTTTCTTTAAAACAGTGTCTACCATGAGGTTTTACAGTCACCCTGGTCAGAAAGAGTTCATTATATAGTTATTAGGAACTATTATGAGACACCAGAAAATGTATGATATTTGTAAATATAGTAATGATCCATAAGGGGTTATTGTGAGTGTAGACTAATGATACTGCTCCTTTCAGAGACGGGTGGTTGATGCAGGTTTATTTCAGCTGTTTGTTGGTCTCATAAACCACCGTTAAAGGCAAAACATCTTATTACTGCTCATGAAATAATACATAGAAACAAGACTTTTATTACTTTGATACAGAATACTCTGAAATATCATGAAATAATTTGTGGCCATATCCCCCCCCCACCCCCACCACCACCACCACCACCACCAGCAGCAGGCAGCTTAAACAGGCCTTGCCTTTGTGGCAAAATGACAGAATTGTTTTGAGACCTGTTGTTGACATTCTCATAAGAAACTGAGTGTTGGGTTGGAAAAGCTAGAAAGGACAAGAAGCAAAGACAAAGAGTTGTCCCACAGGGTTTTTCCTGCGTTCAAATTTGCGTGGCAGCCGCCTCCAGCTAATTTTGTGCCGCCCTAGCCTGATTTCACTCTGCCCCCAGCTGTATAGATGTTGTTTTAACTGCAGTTGCAGCGTTGCACCACTACAGGGGCACTGTATTACCAGCAGTGCACCGAAAAGCACTAAAACCGCTGCAGAAAAAGATCAAAAATTGCTTTTCTAGCTAATTGGTAAAGATCTATGGTTGGTGCTATTGATGTCCTGGGATTGCCCCAGGCTCTTCCAAATCAGAGCAGGGCTGTACAGTGCAACGAAAACAACTGTCTGTGCGCGTTTGTCTATTTTTAAACGTAGCACTGGTGCGACATCTTTAAATTACTATTTTCCCAGAACTTAATTGAACAAAAATAAGTTACGTGTAAGAAAAATGCATTTTACTGGCGCACAGTGTGGTCATCTGGATGCAGTGGAGGAAAATAAAGGAACCAGCAAAGGCAGAACCGGTCCAAAGTTTGGGATCAAAAGTGCAGCTACACGCAGATTGGCTAACGCTAAAGCTAATGGGTATCAGTCTCACGATCAAGTGGTGCACAGAAAAATATACGATGATGGTAAAACTAAGAAAGACTAAACTCTACAAGCGGATGAAAAGTCCCCACCATCCTGTTTATTCTGCATCCTGCAGCGCTACGGATCAGAACCGCTGCAGATACGAGTCGCATTACTGCTACAAGTCTGCTCCACACACAGGAGCAGGAAGTAAGGCAAGCAGTTGTAGTATATAACTCACAAACGCTTCTATCTTTGAACATAATTTAAACTGGATTATTGCCAACCCGTACGTAATAGACATGCCACCATTACATTGTTAGCAGCAGAAATTAAATGTTATTACCATTTCCAATACAAATGCATGTTAATGAAATGCATTATATTTTACTGCATATATTTATGTGTTATTTTGACTAAGATGAGTGTTATTATTACAAACCTAAAATGTTACTGAACTGTAAGTCAAATATTTGAAAATATTTTAACTATAAATATCAGATGGGAAAAAGGGAACTAAACGCCAATCTAATGCATATGATTGAGCCTTTCATAATAATTTGCCTTTAAAAAAGTGAGGCAGTTGAATGCACTGAGTGTGCATGTGCTGACACATGGTCAGGATGGTACCACCTCTGCCTCAATTTGAGCCAGGAAAGACCCTGGTATTCTTCCGGATTGAGCCCTCTTAAAGTTGGGGTAGAATAAGTAAAGAACTTGATAGTTAATAACCAAGTTACAGCCTGGACTGGAGGATAAACGGCCTACATGAAGTGCAGACGCAGAAGTGGGAGTAGCTGCACAGTTAAAATGGCGGAAGAATCAGAGAAGACTGTGCAACTCTATTTTTACTAACCATGGATTTGACAAACTGGTCATTCAATGCGATCAATACGATTTTTTCAACAATGAGAACGGAGCAGGGGGCTCCCACATGTCCACAGGGGACACACCCGGTGGGGTATATTTTGGAATCCTGGAAGGAGTGGAAGATCATATGCCTCTCCCAGCTGTCCATTGAGGATATCGAAGACGTGTGGATATTTGGTCTGATGATCCCTGGATTTCTCCTGATTGGAGTGGGAGGATATCTGGTTTATTGGAAATTTGGGAAGATGGGAGCGATTGGAGGGCGACCCGCACCCACAGAAAGCACCGTCCATGTGGAGACTTCTCAGACTGGGACGTTACTCGAGGTGAATCGTAAGCTGGACAATGTTCTAGCTGCGATACCGGTATTAGTGCGCAAAATGGATGTCATCTCGGAGAGAGTCACCGGACGGTATGGACGAGTTAAAAAACCCAATACTGGCTTCACTGAAGGACTGGAAATGATCAGTTTAAAGACTGAAGGCAGAGAGGAAAATTATCTCAGCCTGACCCAAACAAATTCTCGTTATCTGAATCTGACGCCCTGGTAGCCTTGAGCGGCAAGCAACAACCCCCCACGAAGGAATGCAGACAGATGCTGTGACCCCCCCCTTCGGATTGGGGGACTTCAGCCTGGCAAGGTCATCAATCTGTAGGAGTCAATGTACTCTTTGCTTCTCCCAAGATCTCCCTCCCACCTGTGGCTGTACAGTAGATGAGTGCCGTAGATGGCTGCTCTCACTGGGGGAAACAGGATCCCAGCCCCCCCCTGCCTTCCTATTGGAGCCTCATGTTATGTTGTGTTGTCTGAAGTTTGTTGCATATCTGTTTAGGTTTTTTTTTTGTATTTTTGCAGAGCAAAGCTGCCCTCCTGCTGGAGGGTAACTCTGAAGTGCCTTTTTTCCCTCCACCTGAACCAATCCTCATGTAACCCTCTTATCTCTATTAAGGTAGCGCGACTCGGGTTGCGAATGACCACAGTCACCAATTCTTGACATGTGTCTTGCCCGTGTATGTCTGATCTCTGAATTGTGTGTACTGAAACTCTAATTTCCCTCTGGGATTAATAAAGTTTTGATTGATTGATTGATTGATTGATTGATTGACTGATTGATTGAACAGCTTAAAAAGGAAAAGTCCACTGCAAAAAGCAACTTAACACGACTAATCTACTTCCTTATTAGGGAAGCAGGAGCCATGGTGGAAGCAGAGCTAAAGGAGGAATTTAATAAAATGTCAGAATATTTTAGGAGGCTCCTAGAAGCAAATGATGATTACAAGATTGGTCATCCAGCTGAAGTAACAAAAGAAGAGGATGAAGAGGAACCATGCCTTAATGAACTGCAGGAGAAAGAAATAGAAAGGACTACAAGCAAAGCTAAAATAAGTTTTAAAAATCCAACAGAACTTGTGGTCAAGATATGGACAACAGGAACTCACAGAAGTGATCCTTGATGCAGAAAGTAGTACTGATGTCACAAGTAACGTACCTTTTAAAAATACAAACCGGGGAGCCTATGATGTTTGTCTTGAACTCTCAAGGAAGAGGCTGAGTGAGGCTACCAGAGTCATGTCTGCATGGGAGAGGTGGATCCATGGGAGCGGAAGAAGAGACTTTGATAAAAGAATAAAAGGCCTTAAATGCTTAATAATGCTCTTGAATTGAGAAGGGCAGAGCTTGTCTCCGCACAGACCTCTGAAGTAACAGAAACAGGAAAAACTGTTGCTGGAGCCCACCCTGATCTCTTTGAAGAAGTAGACCTGAGAGCTCACAGTTCCAGAACACACTTTGCTCATTCAACGAGAGCAGCAGCTGTTAAATATGAAGAAATGCAGGAAGCAGAAGAGATAAGGGCTGAAACCAAGAACACAGTTACCAGTCGAGTTTGTGGAATGGTGGAAGTGGGACAGTATAGGGCCAGCCTGTGAACCCAAATGTGGAGGATGTCGCTGCAGTAACTGCCATCTGGGTGGGAAAGAGATGACACT